AAAAATTTTCCAAGATAACAAAACACCTATATCGATAAATAGAAAAAAAATTATTTTTCAAAAAATACAAAGTGATACAGAATGATATTTGGAAATAGGATATAAATTTAATGCATAAATTTTATAAAATAAGATAAATTTGCTCGCGTGTAAATACAAAACGGCAGTAAAAATAATTATTATAATCATTATATCATTATATCATTATATATAATCATATCATTATATCGTTCATTGTATATATTTTTGTATTTTATTTTTATTCCTCTTTAATCACGTTTATAACTTAACATGAACATATGTTTTATCAAGTCATGTTATATTTTTCCTTAGATGAATGAGCAAAAAATTACTTACTTATAATTAGTTGAAGTATCTTCAAAATGAGGTCGACATTATATTGTCATGATAATGAGGCACTTTTACTACCTGTAGAACGCGAGAAAATGATATATATTTAAAATAATAAATAATAATTAAAGATTTAAAATATATTCATAAATTAATCGCTATTAGTCCATAAATTATATTGTAAAAATATAACGAAATTTGTGATATACGATTAACATATATAAACTCGTATAAATATACCACATTTCTTTTTCTATAGTTAAAAAACGCTATCCGCAGATTTCAATTCAATATAAATTCCATAAATTTATCAATTGTATCAAAATAGGTTAATTAATCAAAAAGTCAAAGATATCTTGTACAAAATTAATAATTTTTTAATGTTTTATTCACATAGCATTGATAAACTGAATACGCGCTAAATACTGCGCGAGCGCAGACAAGGTTTTTAATAGATAATGGATACCAGGGCACTGTATCATTGAAAGGTTATTAACAAACTTTTCTTTTTTATCTTAATATTTTACTTATTCTTTAATTAGAAATTATATCCTTTCGCATTTTTCCTCTGTGTTTTTGCTGTTTCTTTGTCTTTATTTGTACGTATTGAATTTAAGTTGAAACATGATCAATTATTGTTATGTTATATAGTTATATATATATATATAATTTTTCTATAAATTATTCTCTATTAAATATATATATATATNGCTTCAAAAAAAAATGAAATCAAATAAATGTGTATTTAAAATTAGTGTATTGAGAAATAAAAGAATAATAAAAGAATAAAAAAGTGCAATTAAAATAAGAATATAGCATCAAAAAAAGAAAATAATAAAAAACAAAAATTATTTGAATATAAAAATAGCAAAACTAATAAAAAAAGAATAGAAATAGACATAGAAACAGCAAGAACAAGTTTTCGAGAAAATGAAAAAATGAAGAATAGTAAGAAGTAAACGAAAAAAATAAATTGAATCACTACTATACCAGTTATAAGATACTAAGATTCCATTAATAGTTGATTGAAAAATTCGAATCGCAGACTGGATGAAAGGCTAACTGGTTTGCTGCCTGTCTAGTTAACTGGATAGTTGACTGGATAGATGGATGGCTGGTTGGTTGGCTGGTTGGTTGGCTAGCTGGCTGGCTTAATGTCCGATGAGAGATTCGGGTCGAACATCGCGCAAACTCTCTACACCCTCTTTCTTCTTCGCTTTCCCTCTTGTCCTCTTTCACTTCTCTTTTCTTTCTCATTTCCTTTCTCTGTTTTCATTTCTCTTACAACCTTTTTTTATATTTGCTTTTTACAAATACATTTTATATTTCACTTTTATATTTTTTTCACCAATATTTAAGTATCTTAATTCATTATAATTCATTAACACTATATTATTTCTATTATGTTCACTTTTTCTATATCATATATAGAGATACACAAAAATTTAAAAATGTTTACTTTAATTTTTTATCAAATATATTTTTATTTTATATTTTAGATTAAATTTTTCTTCTACTTTTATTAAGTAATTCTTTTGCATTTCAATTTTTAAAAATGACTGACAAAAATACATATTTATAACTAATTAAACCAATTTTAAAAGTTAATGATTCAAAAATTATAATCAATAAAAATCTAATTGATTAGAAATTGTGAAAAAAGGAAATAAAACTATACTTCGTACTTGATAATCATAAAAGAAAAAAATATGAAATTTTCATATTAAAAATGAAACTATAGATTAATAGTATAATAATTCAAATGTAAAGATAAAAAAATTTACTTTGTTTCTCCTAAATTTGCCTATTTCATAAGAATTTACTGTGTTTTTCTTTCAAATTCGCGAAAGTATTATATACATACGCATACATTTTTATGCATAATTGTATATATAAAGCAAGCATATATAAACTTGATTAAAAAATAAAAAATGAAACAGAAAAATAATTATTCAAAAAGTTGATTCGTTGAATAAATTATACAATTGATATTTTAAGGAACTTCAACACCACGTATCGTCATTCTATTTTGTTCTTGCTCTTCTCGTGAAACGATTACGATATATTTCGTTCATATATTATTTGCTTAAAGAAAAACAGATTAACATTTATTTAATTTGATTTTGCAATACAATAATTATCATCAATGAAAACTCAATACAAGTCGTTTTAAGTATACGACTGAAATGCATCTATGCAAAAGATAAAATATGTATTTGAAAATATATTTAAAAAAGTATATATTTAAAAAATCAAGAAAAAATAGAATAGAATTAAATTTGAATATATAGAAAGTCGAACTATTATTATTTTGAATTCGATCATGATTTAAAATTATATCTTATTTTCCTATCTCGTACCACGAGAGCAAGCAGATATTTTTTGATCATTCTTCAACGCAGAGAGAAATATTTCGAAGCAATCAATATTCGTTTAAGAGTTTATTTACAAGTGGCAACAAAAATACTATCACCTCTTCCTGTATGATTATAGTACGTTAATATCTTCCTTAGATAAACAGGCACGTCAGAAAGAAATTTCGATCGACGTATTCAGCATAAGATTATTGCTTATCTTTCTTTTTCCTTCTTTTTCTTTTTTTTTTTTTTTTTTTTA